AAATAAAAACTTTCGGGACCTATCAGACTATTTCCTTTATTTTGGTACACCATTAACTAATAAGTAGAACAAGAGTTGATCCAACTAGTCAAGAGTAGCAAGAGTTAAGTCTTCCACTTAACCACCTCGATACGCCTTGCGATACTACACCTCGAAGATTGAGTTGGACAAATAACCAAAGTAGTAGACTAATGTAACGACCCAAAAATCATGACCAAAAATTTTGTTTTTAATTTAATAAATAAACCACAAGTGTCAATCATTCATACAAAATATATCACATCAGATTATCATGTCTAAACAATATTTTATTTTATCAAAGTAAACATTCCAGGCTAAAACTCCTTTGGTGTGTGTGCCATGAGATCACCCCTAGCTCTTCCCTCCGCTACCGGAAGTACCTGAAACCAAAACAGAAAACCGTAAGCACAAAGCTTAGTGAGTTCCCCAACCTACCACATACCATGCATAATCACATACTGCAAGAATTGGTCCATGCCCGCTACTTCGGGCGTCGCCCGCCACATCGGGCCTCGCCCGCTACATCGTGCCCCACCTGGCTTCGAACCCCGCTCAGTATACAAATATGTTTCTCTTAGGCCCCGCCTATCTCTGGGCCCTGCCCGCTAACCACATATGAGCATATAACCCTAGCACATAACACATAAGCTGAACATACCCTACTGTATTCCTATCCTAAGGCCTCGCCTGTCTTGGGCCTTGACCCTGTCCTGCTACTGGTGAGCCATGGAATCCCGTCCAAGCTCCTGCTGTTAGTGAGATACGGACCCCCACCCACACTCACCTTTCTCCTATCTTGTGCCTCTCCCCTCCTTTGCTACTAATGAGATATGGAACCCCGTCCATACTCTGTTAGTGATGAGATACGGGACCATGCCCACACTCACCTCCCTACCAGGCACATACAAGTATCACACAGAAAACAAGTATACTCTAACATACAAACATTCCTTGGGCACCTGCCTGACATCGGACCTTGGTCTGGAATATCATACTAGCATACAGTGCTTAGGGCTAACCCCCGGGTCTTCCTACTCATAACTACATGGGCTAGAATTGTGGCCTTAGACCCATTCACACAGTGAGGAGACTCACCTTGCACCGCTGAATCCTGCCGATACACTTCTGGCTGCTAACTGGAAATTCCCGAACTGCTACCTCCAGCTTCTCGAGATACCAACACCAAATAACACTTATTCCACTACAATAATCCTTCTTGGAGTAAAAGGACCATTCTACCCCTAGACCAACTTGGTCCATATCTAAGGCCCAATACTAGGTAAACTTCCCAAGCCCACTAATGGCCCACTAATGGCCCAATTTGCTAAATCGGGCCCAATCCCTCTAATGGGCCTTACCCTAAACCCAAGTATCTTTTTGGCCCACATCATCTAACTTCTACTGGCCCACTAAGGCCCAAAGTCCAAAGCATGGCCCAATCCGAGGCCCAACCACACGAAGCCCAAACTGACAGAGTACACGGGGCATACCTCCACATATGCTAGGCGTACTAGGTGAGTGGTGAGTACGCTGGGCGTACCTGCACGTACGCTCAGCGTACGGCCCCTATTAAGACACTTTCCCATTAAGTGCTTAATACTCCACTCCAGAGGCTACCAACTTAGATCCAGGTCCTTTTCCATGTCTTAATCCATAAAGTCACTAAATTGGTGACTTGCAACCCACCAAACAAGCCCAAACTCAAAAGGTGACAACATACTTACATAAAAAGGGCTAAATATCATGCATGAACTCATTAGGACCATCAAGATTTAAACTTTACTACTTATAGGACACTTTTAGCTCTAAGGGTGGCAACCCCAAGCTCAAAAACGAAGTTGCACCAAAAAGGTCCATTCCTGGGACCAAAATAACCCCAAAACCACACTACACAAGATCTAAGCATTCTTAAGCAAAGTTATGAACTTTATACCTCCAAAGTGTTCCAAATGATGATGTTATTCTAGATTTATAAGCTCCAACTTCCCAAGTCCTTCTTTGACAACTTTTTATTTCCTCTTCTAAGCTTAAAACCACCAAGATGAGCATCCCAAGGTCAAGATTTCACCAAAATGAAGGGTTGAGGTGTTCTAGGGTTTCTCTGAGGTTGGGGAGGCTGATAAGGAGGCTATGGTTTGAGCCATTATGTTCTTTATATAGTAGCTCACCCTAAAATTAGGGCTTAACGACTCTGGGCAAACGTTGGGCATACTCCTCGTACACCGGGCGTACTCCTCGTATGCTGGGCGTACATCCTCAACACCCGCGATCACTTTCCCTGCTACACTGGGCGTACTCCAGCCTTATGCTGGGTGTACCCAGCTAAGCACACGCGTGCCTTCATGCATGCAAGGGACTGCCTTGCCAACTTTTCCATTAAGGGACCATAAATGTTAACAACTTCAAAATGCTATAACTCCTTCATCCTAAGTCCATTTCCGACGAACTTTATATCCACGAAAAGGTGGCGAGAAGCCCTACACTTCTAGCGACCCCCCCGGGCCCAAAATTCTCGACTAAAACTTCGAACCCTTAAAAGACCAAAACGCCCCTAGCCTTGGCCTTTGAAATCCATAAATGAATACTTTCAGAACAGGGTGTTACAACTCTCCCCCACTTAAACTAGACTTCGTCCTCGAAGTCTTTCTTTACTAACACCCATCACCCCATCAACTGATCTGCGGAACGTAACTGATGATTCTACATGCGAAATAACATCCCTAAGATACTGAAAGCCGACTCAGTCTTCCATTTTGAAGAAGGCAAACTTCAAACTTCCGCAAACCCCTAAGCTACTACATACACAGGAACTATCACGATAGCCACTTCTGCCCGAACACCATGTTGCCTTTTGTCTTCCTTCCGAAAGAACGCGGACCTCCTAGGTCGGAACCTTTCTGCCCACCAACCAGAATATCGGATTCTTTCCAGTCACCGAACCCAAGCTCAAGCTCTCAGTCGCTCCCAGCGACCTCCGAAGAAACTTCGGCTAGCTAAAACTGCTCTATCTACCTTGCTACTCTGGCTCCCTAAGTCCTCGGATCCTTGATCCCTTAAATTAACTCTAAGGCCTCTACCAGGTCCCACCTATGTTGGGCCTCGCCGACGGGTCTCACCCCAAACTATATCTTAGAGCGGTCTCCCCTTCAAGTCTCGCTTGTCTTTTTACTATCGCAAGAGCCTTACCCACGGATCCTACCCAAACCATACTATTGAGCGACCCTGCCCCCGGTCTCACCTATCTAGGGCTACACGGGTCCTAACCCATCATGAATCCTCCACTTACTATCCTTTATCGATCTCTCTTAAGCTGACTAGGAGATACGGGGCTCGCCCAAACTCTGCTAATTAGGAGATATGGGCCCACACCCAAACTCCTCTACCTGGCTACTGTAATGCCCGTAGATCCGGGCTAGTCAATTTAAAGATAATAAGGGTCGAAAACGAATTTTTGACAAAATATTATTTAGAATAAATAATATTAACCAAGTTGTAGAATACGTCTCAAGGGTTCCGTACATATACAGAACATTGAATTCCGAGTCATAACGAAGAAGTTATGGTCCGTCGAAGTTTTACGGCAAAACCGACACGACACCGGGGGACGTAAATAGTGAATTTATGATGGATGACTTTTTAGCCTTAGAAATCTAAACAAAATTAGTAGTATACGTTAAACTGAGAACATACAAAAAAAAAAAAGAACGCCCAAATCTGACTTCGTATGAGGAAGTTATGAATTTTCAAAGATTTGGCTTAGCAGTGCACAGTCCGAAACCTGATTTTAGATCGAGCAGTTTTTGGCCTACACGACCTAAATGAGAATTGAAGATCTCATTAATAGGAACTTAATGGTAAAAAGACAGACGAAAAAAGAGTCAGTATGTAGAAGTTATGAATTTTACGCGGACATTTAACAGTATAATCTCCTCGTACAGTTAAATTTAAGATCGGTCGAGAATTAGCCGACGGAGTCAAAATGAAAGTTGTAGATCTTATTTTTACCTACGTGTGGACATAAAGAACGTCAAAACGGAGGCCGTATGTGAAAGTTACGTATTTTAGAAGTCGGAAGTGTGTTGTGCGAAAATGGGTGATGTGGCACAATCTTCACTACAAGAAAAAGGGGCTTCTGTGACTAAAATATCAGAGACTGATTAATTAGTCTTGGATACCATGTATCAGGGACTGAAGAATTAGTCTTGAATACTATCTAGGACTGGTTTTATTGTGTGAATATTTAGAGACTGACCAAACTTATTAGAGACTAAAACTCAGTCCCTAATTTGTTTCTGTCGGTTTAGGTTTGGTGGGAAACACATTGGGGATTGAAGTTCAGTCTCGAATAGTCTAAAGCCAACTTTGACTTTGAAGGGAAACCTACGTGGGGACTAGATTTCAGTCCCTGATAGATTTGTGTTGGTTTTGATTGTGTGTGAAACTTATTAGGGTCTGAATTTCAGTTACTAATACAACTACACTAATCTGTTATTTTTGGATGAGAAACATTCTAAAGACTGAATTTTAGTCCCTAATAGGCGTGCACTATTTGCCATTTGAATTAACACTTATAACTGACTGAATTTTAGTATATAAGACTGATTATTTAGTCATAAAATGCCATATATTAGAGACTGGTGAATTTAGTAAGGAATACTATTATGAAGGAAACTTATTAAGGTCTAAAATTCAATCTTGGATAGACTAGCCACTTTTGACTTCGGATGGAAATCATTAGGGGTTGGATTTTAGTCTTTGAGGCATATTATTTAGTCATATATACCATATATCACCGGATGTATAGTCACAAATACTATTTTTATAAAACATTTCATAGACATAATTTCATTCTCAAATAGACTAACACTAATTTTGTATGTATGGCAAGATGAGTAGGAACTGACTTTTTGTCCCTGATAGCCTTGTTTTGTGTTTTTAATTATGGAGAACTTATTATGAACTGAGCACTAGGGATGCAAATGGATCTAGTATTCCTCACTACCATGAGGACCCGACCGGAACGGATCGGGGATCCCCAGCTTAGAGGGTAATGGATCAGGGATGGGGCTTAGATCTAGTACCCGAAGTAGGGACGAGTATGATAGTATCCAGTTCGTTGAATATTTTCGAATGGGGTAATTGGCAATGTGGCGATAATGGTGAATATTTTGAAATTAGTTTTTTGATTCATTTGTGTATAATTATTTTATGTTTCAATTGTGTGTGATACATTTGTCTATGTAACTTTTGGTATGAGTTAAATATTATGATTGATTTTTAGAAATTTATTACTTTAGCTTAACTTTAATTTCAAAAAAAGATTTTACTAGTAGTAAGAAATAAAGAGTTATCTTTGAATACTAAAACTATGGAATTGGCTACATGATCAAATTCCATTGCTATACAACTATGTAATTGGCTAGATAATCAAATTATTTAACTATCTAGATATGAAATTTACTACAAAATCAAATTTTGTAGCTATCCAGTTACACAATTGGCTGGCTGCGTAATAACATCTTTAGATATATATCAAAAAAATTATTATAAAAACTTTTATTTTATTTTTTTAAATTGATTCTAAATAAAATTGTATAAATACGAAAATCTGATGTACTTAACATTAATAAAAATTTATACAATTTTTTTTATAAAAATATTATATCTCAAATATAACTTTTTAAATATTTCAATTATTTTCAACCCCCTTCAAAGAAAAATTGAAGTACCGCCAAATTTTTTTGAACTCCCCCCAGATTTTCTCCCCCTCCCGGTTTTAGGTTTCCCAAAAATTGTTGAACACCCTTAATTAGGCTTAGAAATTGCAATCTGCTACGCTTCAACAAGGTTAGCACTTCATCGCTACCGAGGCCGATCACTCAAGTCGGAGTAAGGTATACACTCTTTCTGATATCATCTCTCATCTCCTTCTCACTCTCCCTCTCTTTCTTTGATATACCCGATCCTCACCACCACACCACAACTCACCATTGGCGGCGGTTTAGTGCAGCAATCCATTGCTAGCACAAAACGCCCAACTCAACAACATAGACTACCCTTCCGCCGCCCATCACCACATTGAAAAAAAATCCCAATTCACAACCCATTTGCAAGGTTTTGGACATATGGTAATAGTTTTTTTTACCTCGAACAACATTTGGGCATACCAAGATTTTCTGTTCCAATCAAATGAGGTTTAGTTTTCTTGATCATATTTGTATCTTACAATTATATTATTGATATTTGCAGTGTGCTAGATTACTCACTTTGTGGTATTTTGTGTATTCATTCTAGGCTACACCCTTTGAAGTATTTTGAATGCATCAGGTGTTCTAGGTTTCAGGACATGATTCATATGAAGGTGGGAATTGATGTTGTTTGGAAATCTTTTTGGGGTTGTCCTTTCATCTAGATCGTCAACAAACAGTAAGTGACTCGAGAACACTAATGTAAATCAATAACAATATTTGGCTATCAGTGTCGTTCTTTTGATGATTCATCTTGCATTTGTGCTTCTCATCTTTGTTGTTTGTTTCTACATATCATTTCAAACTGACATAAGGGTTGTCTCTATTTTTTCTGGCTTTGTTATACAAGATGGAGGAAAAGTATATGAAGTGAGAACTAAGGTTAATTCCTTTTTTTCTTTGTAATTTTGTTTTATGATAATTATATTTTTTTTCTGTTTTTATTTGTTTTGCTTCTTGTGGTTAAATTTTAGTAGAAACAACTTTCGTTGAGGCTCTACACATGGGGATAAGCTTACGAGGGACAATAAAGCCTAGCATGCCAAAGCACGTAAAAACTTTATCAGGTTTAAATTTCTCTTTGTCAACACCAAAACCTTGTGTTGAACGATCCATATCAGCAGTTTAAGGTACGCTTCCCATGATTTGCTGAAACTAGTTCTATTTCTACAAGGGTAAATATACCCACACGATACAAATTCTTTATGAACGATAAGATCGATTTAATATGTTGGCTATTGGATTAATACAATCTTTAGTTGTTTTTAGTTATATTTTTATACTTTAAAATTAAAATAAAACAAACAGATTAACATGGTGATCACATTTCATTTATACCCTTTTATTTATATTTAAATTTTTATTTATATATAAATTTCAAAAGATCGTTTGATATTTTGATTTTTTTTAGTTCATATCATTATCATTTTAATATCCTAACTTAATAATTGTTTATAACATTAACATATATTGATATACTTTAAAATAAACCATTAGGCAATAGACGATTTATTTTTTTGGTCTTAAATACTATTTTACTATATTGATCAAAATCATATTTTTTTTGTGTGTTATTTGTGGGTGTAAGGAATATAAGATCCATTTTATTTAATAATAGCATTTTTATTTCAAACAAATAAAAGGAATAAGAAAAGTAATAATGTAAAGGGCACATTAGTCATTTTCAAGTTTAACGGGGACCAAAATCCATAACGAAACTGGATGTAAATGACTACTTCCACAAATTTTGAAATAGTTAGATTTTCAATCGAAAAAAATTAAACCATAGGACCATTTTATTGTGTATACGAGTACCTTTCTATAATTTCCTATTTGACGTTATATCATGTCATGTTTGGGACTTTAATTTTTTTTTTCTTTGTTGCAGATCACTGTCATACCAACCCAAAGTGTTACAACCTCATAAAGTCCATATTTTAACAAGTACATATGTTTTTGAAATTCGCATGTTTAATTCCTCTTTTTTTTAGCATACTTCATATTTTTATTTTCCTTCAATTCTTTTACAATTTTGTGGGGTTTTCAAGATTTTGAATTGGGTCTTTGTTGAAACAGGGGAAGAACTTTCATGTAGAGCCACCACAAGAGAAGTTTCCTACTTGTTGGTTCATGTACACCTAAAGATTCCATATCACCATGCAGTTTCTGCAAAAGTATCACCAAATCATATGAGTTTAGGGCATGTGTTTTATGTGTATTAATGGGTATGGTTAGTTAGTTTGGAAGATATTTTTGTTTTAAATATTCTGAATGTTGTTGTAAGACAAGACAAATTTTAATTCAAGTAATCTTTTTTTTGTTTTCTATTTATTATGTTAAATTTCTATTATTATTTTGTATTCCATTAAATTTATAAAAAAATTTGGACCTAATTTTAAAGTATAAATGTGTTATGGTTAGAGACTGAACGACATTATATCTGAGACTCGTATTTAGTCCTTGAAATATCAGGTTAGGGATTGAATGGTATTTGAGACTAATATTTAATCATTGAAAAATAATATTATAGAATAAACTAGATAGTTTAAAAGATTGATATTCAATACCAAATGATATTATCAAAGACTAACATGATAAAGGGTTGATATTCAATCACTGAAAAATAGTATCAAGGACTGATATAACATCAAATTGGGGATTTGAAGAAAAGAAATTAGAGACCGAATAAAATATGATCTAAGACTGATTTTTTGTCTTTACTACTTTGATGAATTAGGGGCTGAGTTTCAGTCCTGGATACATAAAAAATCGACTATCTAAGACTAGGTCTCGGGGACTAGCTGGCTAGTCCCTGATTCTCATTAGAGACTGATTATTGACCATCAAAGACTGATTATGCCCTGATTCTCATTAGAGACTGATTATTGACCATCAAAGACTGATTATGTCAGTCTTTAATACCCATTTTTCTTGTAGTGCTTGGTCATTGCTTTCTCCCCAAGTCTTGCCACTAGATCGTTACATGTGGCACCAAGTTCACCCATTTTCACCCTATAAATAGAACCTCTCTCATCCCCATTTTCTTCACACCTTTCCCATTCTCTCTTCTTTTTACTCTCTCTCTCTCTAGAACCTCTCTCTAGCACCGAAACCCCTGAAAAGCCTAGGGAACCTCCCTAGCACGCGGCGGAAGCCCTGGAGTGCTAGACGGCTCCGAGAAGAAGACCTTTTCAGCTCGGGAACGCTGCTCCAAGCAAAGCCCGATTTTCTATAAAACCCGCTGTTTCGTCGAAGGAAATTATTTTTAAGAAGTGAAGTGCTGTCTGAGTTCGGAATCACCACCTTTTCAAGTGAGTGCATGGTCCCTTTCATATTACACATAGATAGGAAGTATTTAATATAAATTACGTGCTATGTGTGCATATTGTCTGAATACTTGCTGTCTATGTTGGGTGAAATATTTTTATACACGTTTTAAATGATTTAAATTGTATATGTATTTTATATCTACAAAACGTGTTAGGTAAAACATGGGTAGATGTAATAGTTGTTGTGTGACCAAATAAAATAACGAGAGGCCTCAATATAGATGTTATTGATGATCCAATCATCTAGTGAAGTATAGATGACGACCACGGACTATTCTAGACAATCCAGTGGAACGCTAGCAGGCTCGCAACCTGTAGGTGTTTATTTGAACTGTGTGCTCACCAGCAGTACTCCATCTCCCACATGGTTGCCTTATTTGACATGAATTGTTGAGGAACCCCCAAAGCATGTGTTTTCACCCCGATGAAAGTCCCTTAGACTGGGTCCCTTGTGTTAGATGCTTTAGGGACGTAAAGTGAGAATAACGGGAACGGGTAATCGGGTTTGTTTGGTTTGATAAAGTTAATAAACTTATTTATTGTGGGTTGAAAAAACCTATGTACTCACCAGGTTTCCCAACTTGACCCACTCAGTTTATTTATATCACAGGTGTTGATATGAAGTCACATTACACTTAGAGATTAAGGAGATATAAATCACTAGTGATAATGAATGTAAGTTCTGTTTACGCTTATGTTTCTGTATTGACGATGACATCCCAAATGTTTTAAAATGAATAAAAATACTTTTCTTCGGAAATGCTTTGATAATGTATTTATCATGTTTTATTGGGAACGAATTCTGCAACATTTTTATTAAAAGAGGTACTCTGATTTTTATAAAGCATAAACAAAATTGGTCTTTTCTGGCCGTGAAAATGGGGATGTCGCAACTACTAGCAAATGTTGCCGCTATCCTGCAGTCTTACTACACTTCCCGCACTGTCGACCTATTGGTGAATGCTACAGCTATCCCGTAGTCTTATATCCTGGCTAAACTCGCGTGCTACTGGGAAAACACCAACCTGGTTTCCCAAACCAGTCCTCTATTACTGTGAATACATGAACTCAATGTCAGGATGTTTCTCAAACTCCTGACGTCCCGTTGCTTTATCCAAACGTCTACCTCGGTTGCTTTCCTTCTTATCAAGGATGCAAACGCATCCAAGTTGCGCTCCTACATTGGCTCCTGACTACTGAGATAGTTCTCCCCCACTTCGGTTCAACTAGATCCCTACAGATCCTAACTTGAAAAGGATTCCCAATCCTTTTCTCCATCCAAAGGTCGATCTGCCGACAACCACGTTTACCACCGCTAGAGCTCTAACTAACCAATACCAAATCTGAACCACTCTTGAAGATTAATAGAGCACTTCCCGAGCCCCACTCACACCTGCTACAGTGACTACATCCTGAGAACCGATTCAAGAGAGGTACTACTACGAACTACCGTCTGAAAACCCATGGTATGCAAATGGCATATGATCCGATCATGAACATAACTAAGATTCTAACATACATTCACTTAATACAAATGCATTACCATAACAATATAATCATGTATAGGGGTGTCAAGATAACCCGAACCCGATTAACCCAACCCGACCCGAACCGAACCAAAATTAGATAATTAGGGTCGGGTTTAATAGGGTCAGAACTCTTAATCGGGTTATTCGGGTTAACCCGACTAACTTGAATTATTATTAGGGTCGGTTAACCTGACTAACCTGAATTATTATTAGGGTCGGGTTTAGATTTGATTTTTTCAAAACAATTCGGGTTTCGGGTCAACCCGAATAACCCGATCAAGAATATATTACCAAAACTTTTTTTACTGCGTTGAATGACATGAATTCAAGATGTCATGAGATTTTAAAAGTAATACATATTTCTTATTTAAACAAACCGGGTAGTAAAATTACTATGTATAGAGATGTATAAAATGGCATAACTTTCCTCTCTTCTTAATGCAGTACGGTTGTGTTATAACAATTTTACGAATTTTATTAACTGTTTACGTTACTAATATGGTAAAAGAAACTCCAAAAATTCATATTGTATACCAACTTTACATTTTAAGTACATATACATGTGAATTATGTATTAAAATGGCCCAACATAAATTCATCTTACATTTCAACCTCAACCCGACTAACCTGATTAACCCGAAACCCGATTAACCCGAACCCGACTAACCCGTACCTTATTAGGGTCGGGTTTCGGGTGAATATTTTTTCTAAAAAAACCCGACTAACCCGACCCGTTTAACCCGAAACCCGATCGGGTTAACCCGATTAACAGCCCTAATCATGAACATAAATAAGATTCTAACATACACTCACTTAATCCACTCCTCGAGCTGCTCGACTCCCGATCCAGAGCCTGATCCCTCTCTGGCGCTTGATCCACCCACTAGTCTCTCACGCAACGTCACCATGCTGAAAACATATCATAACAACCATTAGAATATTCCTTACTAACGAGGTATCACACACTCACTATAAGTCTCCTGGTCTCATCTTGGCCCGTCCTGAATCGAGTACAAATCCTCTACTTTTAGTAGTACGGGTCCATACTACCTTCCACATCTATCCGTACTTTCCTCAAGAATTGCCTTGACTCCACCAAGTCCCTTACTCTACTACTATTTCTCCCAGCACTATTCTCATCCTAGGCTTACCCTAGGGAATCCACTAAACCACCCCGTCCTGAGCTGCTGAAGGACTTCCCACCAATATCATCTAACTACCTCATGAATATAGTCACATGTAGCAGAGATCAGATAATCCTTCAACTAAAGGACTCATCCCTAGAATGGTTAGACTTATACGAGAGTTGCGCAATGGGGTCAAATCCAGCACTCTGAGATTATCCAGCCTGTGCCACATGTGACTTAGCATATTCATTTAATAGTTAGATCATATTGCTAAAAGTCCTACAAAGCACAAAGCAAGCAACATTCGGATAATGGAAAGCTAGCCATCAATCAAACTGTTCTATTCTCTACTCATGAATCTATACTAGCATGCAATTCATGGAGATCATTCACATAAAACAGGCACATAAGGCATCTTCCTAGATCCTTAGTCCTAATCTAGCATGCAGTTCTCATAAGCATAACATAAACTTGTATGGGTATTTTGGGGTACTTACTTGAGCTCGGTTGATTGCACGCACCACAACCTTTTCTTTTTTCAAAGTTATTTTCTTTCTACTTTTCTAAAGTTGTTTTCTTTGCTCAAAATCCTTATTACAAAATTGATTTTCCTTTTGAAAATTTCTATACGAATTCCTCAGTTTGAGTCCAGACACACCCGAGAGTGTATCCGAATTGCTCAAACAAAGGCTCCGATACCAACTTGTAACAACCCAAAAATCATGACCAAAAATTTATTTTTTAATTTAATAACTAAACCACAAGTGTCAATCATTTGTACAAAACATATCATGTCTAAACATTATTTATTTATCAGAGTAAACATCCCAGGCTAAAACTCCTTTGGTGTGTGTGCCACACGATCACCCCGAGCTCTTCCCTCCGCTACCGGAAGTACCTGAAACAAAAACTGAAAAATAGTAAGCACAAAGCTTAGTCAATTCCCCAACCTTTCACATACCATGTACAATCACATACTGCAAGCACTGGGCCACGCCTGCTACTTCGGGCCTCGCCCACCACATTGGGCCTCGCCCGCTACATCGGGCCCCGCCTGGCTTCGATCCCCACTGGGTATACAAATCTATTTCTCTTAGTCCCCGCCTGTCTCTGGGCCCCGCCGGTAAAAACATGCGAGCATATAACCCTAGCACATAACACATACACTGAACATAACCTACTGTATTCCTGTCCTAAGACCTCGCCTTTCTAGGGCCTCGTCCCTGTCCTGCTACTGGTGAGCAATGGAACCCCGTCCAAGCTCCTGCTATTAGTGAGATACGGGCCCCCGCCCACACTCACCTGTCTCCTATCTCGGGCC